TGCTTTATCAATAAACCAAGATGGATCTGCTTGTCGTGCTGCTCCGACTCCTCTAATTTGGATGTTTATTGGAGCCTACACCCAACCTGAGAGATATCGAATGACTTTAATGATACCATACCAGGCTGTAGGCATGTATCGCTCTCATTTTATCAAATCAGTGTGAGTTACATTAAAGGAAAATCTCACTCTTGGGTTCTGTGCCGTATGTCAGAATTAGGAAGATGCTTTGAGAAAATCCAGGGTTTAGAAACATGGGATCTGAGACAAGAAAAGCTGTGTATGCACAAAACTACAACCATGGATAGGCTGTACTTTCTTCAGGCTCCACAAAATGAATGAATTGATGTAAAAATAATAAAACTAACAATGAAATAAATGTGTTTTCTGCTGCAGATCAATTTGCAGCATATTTCAGGTACAAGGTAAAGAGAAAAATATGGAGAAGAAATAAATGGGCAGGTCTCTCAAAGAAAGTAAAAATATAAATCTATACATTTACATATGTATTTTTAAAATCAGTTTTCATAAATACCATTTCATTATAAACACTAATTTTCAATCCTGCATAGTCAGCATCCACTAACAGCTCGGCAGCAGCCACTGGATCGCTACATAACAGCCTTGTGACTGATCACTCAGGAGCAGGTACAGTTTATGATTGGAGTGTGTTTTATTGCATGTTTGGACTGATGATGTGTAAAACTCCCACATGTAGAAATTATTGTATGACAGTGGAAATCTCATGACTCAACCTTCTGAAAACTGGAACACTGGAGTTTTTGGCCGCTGGCGACACTGCAGGGCAGTACTTTGATTAATGAGTCCCAGAGTTTGTATGTCATGTTCAGCCAGCATGAGCCAGGTCAGATCTTTAAATGTTGACCATCAGAATGATATAGCATGTGGATGTTTTGCTTTTTATAGCTGGGTTAATAGTGTTCTTACCTAACTGAGAACAAATGCTTTTAGCACATGAGCCTAGTAAGTAAATGTTCCAGCTGTGACCAAACAGGACCCGATTAGCCATCATGTTTGTTGGTGATAGCCGCGGCTGGAGGCATTATGGTTTCAGGTTTTCTGTCTGTCCGTCTGTGCATCCGTACATTTCTTGTGAACACGTTATCTCAGGAACACCTTGAGGGAATTCCTTTAAATTTGGCACAAATATTAACCTGGACCTAAGGATAAACTGATTAGATTTTGGTGGTCAAAAGTCAAAGGTCAGTGACCTCACTTGACTGGTTGCTGAGGCATACAACTGCAAAGTTGTAATTCTAGTTTATACCGTGCCAGGATTTTACCAGAACTAAATTTTGGAATGTACAGTAGAGATCAACTTTTTTCACTCCACAAATATAGTCAAGGCTTAAGTTGTGTTTTTCGTGACTTCCTCTACAGTATTACTCTACACTTATTTCTGCAGGATAAATATTGCAAAATCAGAATATCAGCTGTTACGTGTTGTAAAATTAAGATTTCTTTTATGAATGCTCGGCAGTGGCTCAAGTTCAACACTTCCCTTGTCCTGCGGTAGAATGGAACCCAAATTGTTTTGTGATTTGAGTCTGTGTAAATAAAACTGACTTGACATTGCAGGGCACCAAATAACATGTTGTCCAAACTGCATATCACATAAAGTAGTAGTCAGTGTGTGTGTGTGTAGATGTACACACTTTTCTGGGTGGAAAATGACATGTGCACTGTTTTTGTGCATGTGTATTATTTATTCATCTGCCCACTGGGCTCCACAATGTGCACAGAGCAGCACGCGCCTCTCCTGTCAGATGTATCTACCCTCCTGTTATCTGGAATTTCACGTTTCCACAAGACACTGGTCCTTCTACACACTGTTCACACCCAACCGCCCGTCTTCTTCTCTCAAGCCTCCTTTTCCTTCTCTCTTTCTTTTCTCATCTTTCTCACACACACACACAAGCTTGTACCAGGTTGTTAAATTTAAGTTCTCCAACCCCTTTCACACACGCACAGAGGTAAACACACAGCCTGGCAAAAATAGCTTTCATCTTTGCATCAACCTCTGATTCTCGGCTCAAAGATGAGAATCCTTTGGCAGGACTTTCTCTCTCTCTCTCTCACACACACACACACACACACACACACACGCACACGCACACTTTTCTCTCTCTATCTCTACACACAAATTGAATGTGTGGTCTTGACTGGACAAGAGGACAGGGAGGACAAATAAAAATCACCTCATTACCCTAACCCTTACACATCCCCTCACACAACCCAACACATGCACATGCGCAGACAGACATAGACAAACAGGTTGTTCATGTGCATTAGGAATGGGACTAGAAAAGCTTTGAATCCTGGTCAAACATAATTTGGTGTGTAAATGCTGACAGACGAGGACAGGGGGCACACATGACTCTGGAGGACCAGAGACGCTTCTTGGCAGTGAGAAGACGGGAACAACAGAGAGACCGCGCACACAGTGGTAGAGGTTGTACTAATTATGATTAAAGTGATGAATGATAAAGGTCAGTGACGATATAAAAGATGAAACTGATGATAATGATAATGATGATGTTCCCTCCGTTTTTACCCCCCGTGATTTCAACCATAATTTTCCAGCTGCACGTGAATGTTCTCAGTGGTCTCTGTGTCGAGTCCAGAAGAACATTCTCAGTGGTCTCTGTGTCGAGTCCAGGTTTGACTGACAACAGTGAGGTGGTGACTGCAACTTATAATCCAAGGTGTAGCTGCAAAGATTTTCAGCCACGACAGATCGGTGAGATATTATCATAACAAGACCTGCAAAATCTCCTGCTGTTAATTCTGGTTTAAAATGTTTTGTTGTTTGGCTTTGATAAACATCAGAGCCTGGCAGACTTCAGGGGTGCAACTTTTTTATCATGTTAAAAACTTGAACTATTTAATTTATTCCATTGGATTCATTATTGGTGCCTAGAGAATAATAGAACTGAAAAAACCCACGTGGAGCTTCAGCAACAACATAAAAACAACATTGACATAGTACCACTTCCTAAAATGTCTGATGAAATTTTGATGAATATCACCTACTGCTACCCAAGTGGCAATTACAGGATAATTGTAAATACAAAGATATCTAGAAAATCTATAAAGTGGCTCTACAGTGTTGAATATCTACATACAATTTGTTTAAAAGTCTGCTAACATTAGCTACTGATCGTACCAGAACAAGTAAGGCTGTGGCAGCAAAGTTCCTGTGTGTACTGACATGATGACAAGTATTCTCACTTTAAATTTATAACAGTTGCTTATACAGCGCCATACGGGTCATGTTTTTTTGTAGGCTAACATGGACGTTAGCATCACGGTGGTTCCCCCAACAACAAAAAAGCCAGATTTTTTCCATAGGCTTTTGCATTATCGCAGAAAATTAACTGTGTGACAAACAACAATTTATGAGATTTACACATTTTGTTCAGCAAGATAATCTTCACAGTTCAACACCACTTTTATGATTTTTGAAGCCCAAATACAGACGTCAGAAGTAAGAATCTATTATTAGGCTATAAACCAACACCACCACAGTCCCATGACTTCAGCGTCACCACCACAGCTTCCAGTTTGTAATCTGACTTATAGTGCTTCTACAAATCCTTTCCTCTCAGGTGACCTGATCTAGCTAGTGAGCACAGCTGTATCAGCCAGTTAGAATAGTTTGCAAGTGCACAAATTTAAAACACAAGGCTGGACTAGTGAGTAGATGAGTCTCTGTGTTTGGCGTGATGATCTTTAATATCCCAGACGGCCTCTGTAGTCTCATTTAGCCGCTTGTTAGCAACTGGCTTTTTTAAGACACGTAAAAGCATTAATAATAATGAGAGGGATATTTACTGATGTATTTTATTTTACTGAACAAAACGTGAAAATGTATTGGTCTTGTGTTAACACCGACCTTATTCCATGCATCTAACCAAAAATACATTCAGGCTGACGGAACCTGAAGTGCAAAAGTGCTGACTCAGTTCCAGGTTTTAGGACTTACTGCTACAGTATGACACTCTATTACACATCCAGCAGCTACAGAGAGCTAAACACCCAAATTCACAGCAAAAACAACAAAGTCTCACTGCCCTCAATGGTAACTACAGCTCTATCCCAGGATAACTCTGGGTGGGAGAAGTGAGAGAGCAGCATTACCACCGTGGCGCTGCCCCTGAGCGAGGCCCTGAACATGCACCAACAACTGCCCTATGCTGCTCCGTGGCCAACAGATCAGACTGCAGCTATACTGGGGAGCATCCAGGTGTGAAGGTGAATGTGTGTAACTGGCAACTTAACTATATTAATTTGAGAGAATTAATGAGGTAATTTGAGGGAATCCTCAGCTCAGAATCACAGCTGCTACCCTGCGCTCACACTCTGGGTGCTCCCCACACAGAGTAGCTGCAACATGAACGGCAGCTTATACTGATACGCTAACTGGATGCTCATTTGAGACAGGGCTGGGGAAAACAGACCGTGATAGATGAGAGGCCATATAATATACATGCTGTCATAACACTGTAATGTTCAATACCTTAAACCTGATGGATTGTAATGTTGTGACTAGATGCACACAGCTGATACATTAAGAGTCTCTGGTTTCCTGCTGTCCTTGGGTGGCCATAACACTTATCATTTGACAGTTCACAATTTCTTGTAATAGGAAAATGGGATTTTTTTTGTCTCTTCACACACACAGTACAAAACACAATCTTGTATTTGTGTCAAATACAAGGTTTTCTCAAAGGTAAATCACAAGACGAGCATCCTGTTCACTCTAGCGCATGTATATGCGCATATTTGGACATGTGCAAGTGTTGTAACATCACTAAAGATGTCAAGTTTGTTCATATATATTTGCTGCGTGCCATCTTCAAGAAATGTTTTGTATTCTACTGATGTCTTCTCATCTAGCACAGAAGGTTGGTTCTCACAAGCAGAGTCGGAGAGCAGAGCGGAAAACAGGCAGAAGCAAAGAGAAAACTTTTTTTTACCTTGGCAGATGGAGGAACTCTCTGAACCAGCTGAGCCTTCAGTCTCCGTGCACCTTTCACATCACTATCAAAAAAAAAAGGGGGGAAGGGGGAATGGGGGATAGAAAGACAAAGGCAAGAAATATCTGAAAACCATCTGGCAGCAGCACAGACTGACACAGTCTGCCACATTAGAAAGCAGAACCAGGAGCAGCATCAGGGAAAAAAGCAAGAGTGGAAATTAGGTTTGGACTCAGCTTTTTCCCCTGGTTACTGTGATAAAGTGAAACTCATTAAATAATAATAAAAATTTGATTATATAACACAATTAATAGAACACCTCAAAGCCTTATGCAAGTCAGCGAGGGAGGAGAGATGGAAATGAGACACAGGAGAAAAAAAACAAGGAAAATAGGAGAAAACGGTGGACTCCCATTAGAAGGGATGGTGGAGGATGATGATGGTGACATCTGACAGTTGGCAAGTCAGTGATGGACAGAGAGAGGGAAATCAGGAGAAAGTGCTTATTTACAAAAATAATCTGCATAGGAAAAAAGAAACAGAACGTTTAGAACCTGTCTTCACTGTCACATGACTACTCATCCTCCAGTGTCAAGTAGATCTCTGTGTGTGTGTGTGTGTGTGTGTGTGTCTAAAGGGCTGAGAAGATGTAAGCAGACACAAATAATCATGACTGGGGACCAAACAGTAGGCCTACATTAACTCTGCAAAGGAAACTGTTACTGTAAAGTGTTCCTATTGTTTTGTGCAAGCCCCACAGGCCAGAGTTATGATTGGATAATCACTGCTCAGGGGGAGGATTTAGTGAACGATAAATTCAAGTCTATTAAACCCAGCCCTCCTGATAATAAATGTTATTTGTTTCCCTTGCAGCACATTTCCAAACGACTATGGAAAATTATAAAATCTTGATAAACAAAATTATAAATCATGAAATACCCATGTGAGTTAAATAATCCCATTATCTATAGTTTGTAGGATAATTTGCTGCTAATTGTTTATGATGTGCACTATTCTGACTAGTCTTCTGTCAGTGTCCTGGTTTGCATCAAACCTCTTCATGGTCTAATTTTGTTAGACAAAGAGCTGCACTGTGATTTCAAAATCAATATTCAATTCAAAATTTGTTTTTTTCTAATTACAGATCATCAGAGCATCTCCCAGACTGCAGGTCTTGTTGGGATTCCTGGTCTGCAGTGGTCAGTACCTACCAACAGTGTCTAAGGAAGGACAAACAGTGAACCGGCGACAGGGCCATGGACGCCCAAGGCTCACTGATGATGAGGTTGATTTACTGTAGATCAAACTTTTAAATTTCATTCATCCTTTGCAAAAGATTCCATTTAGTTTGAATCTTTATTAAAATGGTTGAGCCAAACAAAGTGTGCTATACACATATACAGTACTATACTTTATTACACATGTGATACTAACTACAACTACAAGACAAGACAGATCCAAGTTAAGGTAGTAGTGACACTAGCCAGTATAATCCACTATCCATATACTTGATATTAAATCACTTGTGCTTTTACCACTATTCTTTTTCCCAGGTGATTTTCTTCTTTTTCCTGGTTACATTAGGACCTCACATCTGTGGTGGCCTTCAGTGTGGGTGTAGAGGTTCATTATTGGCCCTCTCTGTGTCTTTCCATTTCAAATCTCTCAGAGCGAGCTACAGGTCAGGTCCAGAAGTACATGAGGGCAAATCCAAGTCAAGTCAGAAGTCTTTATAAAGTGTAAGTCGAGATGCAATACTTTCAGATCTTTGAAAGGGAAAAAGTACATGGTGTGATATTTAATAGTCAGTATTCAAAACTGTGGTAGAGTAATTGTGTTTGTAATTAGCTGAGACTTTGTCCTCAGCCAATGCAAAGATCTAATGTTCTGGGGTTTTATTGGGTCAAGACTGACTTGGATGTTTTTGCTTTCAAGTTAAATCTTTAGGGCATCAAATCTCAGAGGAGTCAAAACATTAAATCTAATGCTCCTTGCAAAACCAAAGGAAAAAGAACTGTGGAAATAAACAGACCTGCCACACAACTGAACATTCAGCAACGCACACCAACAACAATACATAGCAGCTATGCTAGTTTTTTATTCACAAGAGAGCTGTTTGAGCCTGAGGAGGTAAAGATCAACGGAGGGAAAGACTGAGGAAAAAGGAATGCTGGGAAATGAGGAGGCAGAACAGTAAACAGTTACAGATGAATAGCTGTTAAATGATACCGACAGCAGAATGACACTGCAAACACATGTAGCGATATTGATATGTCTTTGTGTGCGTTTCCATGCAGTCCTATGAGCCTGCTGGACATTTGGGAAACATCCCTGAGCTCAGATCTCCACTGCAGACATCAGCTTTTCATCACAAATGTTCTTTAATCACTGCAGGAGATGGAGTCCAAAAACTGCACACACGTGCACACTAGTGTTGTCACGATACCAACATTTTGGTACCGGTACCGGTACCAAAATGTATTTCGATACTTTCGATACTTTTGGATAGTTTTTCAGATAAAAAGAGGTGAGGGCACTTTTGTAATCTGATGTTACAAACTCACTGAAAACAACTCAAATCAAAATTACTGAGGTGAAGCAGCATGAAGAGGAAACAGAGGAGGTCTGGTAGCTACACTGGAAAAAGATAAACACAGAGGAAAACACAAGGGGAGAGATGGATGAGGAGCCTGCAGAAAAACAACTAAAAACAGAGGCTCTGATGCATTACTGCTGGCAAATTAGCTGAACATAGAAACTACTACTGAACTGTCCCACACACACACACACATACACAGGCACTACTCTTTAGCTATTCCTTATGCATCAGCAGTGCATTTGCTCCTCTGTAGTCCCCTTGACTGCAAATGGAGAGGACAGCAGAGAGAAGAGCTGGGTGTTTATTGTTATCCTCACACACTAATGTCTGTAAAGGCTCAAGCCACAGTGACCAATGAGCCCAGGAGCGGTGTGAGTGAGTCAGACTCAGCTGGTCTCCATCAGTGGGAGGTCTGCAGAGTGAGGTATATGATTTGTTGGGGGAAAAAATAAAATGAGTTGGCCACAGGCAAGCTCAGGGTTGAGGTGGTCATGACAGCCTCCGTCTGACTCCTTTGAATGTCATCTGTCTCGACTGCAAAGCAAAGTACAGACGGGTGACAAATTAGAGTAAAACCCTGAATAAATGAGTGGTCTCCTCCAGGATGGCAGTGCCCCCACCCATAGGACATGAGGGGTCACTGAGTGGTTTGAGGAGTATGACTCATATGCAGTTACCTTCACAGTCACCGGATCTCAACCCAGTTGAACACCACCATCATCAAAACACCGCATGGGGGTAGAATGGTTCATCCTTCCAGTCAGCCCAGTCTCACAAATTAAAAATTTACAAAAGCTACGTTGGTCCAAGCTACATAAGATGTAGTAATGTTTCAATAACGGCTGTAAAATTGTGACTTTTATTTTATTTTTAATTGCAGCTCAGTGTTCTGCTTTGTGTTCTTCTTCTTGGTGTCTTATGGTGGTTGGCAAACAACAAAATAATGCATTACCACCACCTACTGGACCAGAATGTGGCTCAGGAAGCTAACATTTAGTGTCTGTTACAGTCAAATGGTTTTGAACTATAGAAAGTTACAAACACCAAGAAAGTAGTGGTTAGAGCAGATGGATGGGTCAAACAAACACATGATTTTCCCAGAGACTGTGTCCAGTGTTGTACTTTTCATTTGAGAGCGTTTCAACTAAACCCAGGGTCTTCCCCTAACCTTAATCATATAGTTTTTGTGCCTAAACCTGAGCATTTTCTTTCCTTTTCGCTGGCAGAAAGATGTTACCATGTCACAGTTTTACAGGTATTATTGTGAGACTAGTATGTTTTGCACTGAGGACCAATGTGGCTATTATACATTCTGCTGTGAGACCGGGCTGCTCCGGAAGAATCCCCTTACTCCTTACCGACTTTATGGGGTGTGTGTGTTTTTAAATTCGTCACTATGTGTAGTGAGAAAAAAGGTTAAAAGGATAAAATATACTGTAATCTGCAATCAGTGATCATAATAAGAAAAGTTTTTCTGAGCATAAATAATACTATAAAAATAAGGATCTTTTCTAATTTACACTGCATCTGTTTGATAGAAGAGTGTGTCACATAACTTTGGAGAAAAAATGCTTGTTACATTAAAAAGAGGGTTGAATTGCTTCTCAGCCACCTTGAGTTTACTGTATGTTCATCTCCTCATCATTAAGTATACGATTACTTGGACTAAACCAAATGTCTCTCTCTTCACGTTTCATTTCCAGCCTTGGCGTCGCTTCCTTCAATATGAAATGTGAGTTACTGTAAATTCAGCTACACCGATAAACCTAAAGAATGTGTGTCCGGTTTAAAAGGCCATCTTTACTTTCCTAATATCAATGCACTTGATGCCGGTGTGAGACATGTTGTAAAATAGTGAAAGACTTTTGGCTGCACTCCACATTGTTATGCTGGTGTGAAAGGGCAGGGGAAAACCTATTAAAATGGTGTGACTGTCCCATATCAGGTGGCAGGTATGACATTCAGTCAGCTGATAAACAAACAGCAGCAGGTGGAGGAAGTGCTGTGGTAAACTTTAATTGTAAGTGCTGGCAGAGACAGTGCCTTTTCCATTGGGGCTCTGCCAAGACAAGCAATGTGAAATATGTGCTTATTAGTCTGTGTTGTTACAGACGCTGCTCATGATCCTTCTTTCCTGTCAAGAAGAAACCCGTTCATTTCAGGAGTGTGCGCCAATCTGCAGGACTGTTAATGAATGCACAGACTCAGACATGCTCTGTGGGACATCACAGGACTCTCCCATGGTATTACAGATTACTTCAGTGCCTGTGTGGACACTTAAGATTTCAACAAAAACTGCTTTCCACAGGATAAACTAAACTGTGGATGACATAATCCATCAAATCCCTTCTAAATAGGAAGAGGGGCACTCTCAGGGTTTTGGGGACAGGGAGGAAGTTAAGTCTGTCCAGAGGGAGCTGAAGAGGAGAATGGAGGATGGGAGGAACACCCACCAGGAGAGGACA